GAGGTTTCCCACCCTCCTTGCCTCCAACCTCTATTTCTGTGGTCGCATCTCCTTTTCTGACTCAGACCCTCCTGCCTCTCCCCTAGTAAGGACCCTGGTGATTACATCAGGCTCACCTGGGCAACCACAATAATCTCCCTATATTAAGAGCCTTAATGTTATCACATCTACAAAGTCCCTTTTACCATGTAAGGTTCTGTGAATTAGGGCACGGTCATTATTTTGCCTACCACAGAAAGCTTTTGTTTATACATGAAATTGAGAAAACTTAAATATCCATTTAAGACCACTCTGCTGTAGTTTACAGGATGCCTGGTAGCAATTCTGTTCTGAGGGTAGCCTTCATGTCTCCCTAATTCATCCCTGTCACCCTGTTTTATTTGATCGTTCACTTGCTTCCTGACTCCCCCTCTTTAGAATGTAAACATCACGTGACTTGCTCATTGCTGTGTAGCTAAAACAGTACAACTGACAATAGGCGCACAATAAAATTGAGCTAATTGCCAGGTGTGACGCTAGAAAATGGGGCTAAGGAGATGGAGTAAGTCCTCTGCAGTATTAAATAAAACGCTCTAAGATTTCCGAACATGCTCAATCCATTAAGAAAAGGGTCAGAGCAAGTGTGCTGTTTTACAGTATTGCTGCAGATCGATAAAAATAGTGTTTTTCTAAGAACATGCGTGTGTACACTACACGCACACACACACACTGTTTCTAAGTCCAACACTCTTCTTAAACAGTGACCGTAGATGAGGAGCTAATCCCTAACAGGATGCAGTTTAAGCAGATAAAAATAAAATATGCTATGTCAAAGGATTTCCAGATGTGGCACTCTGGAAGAGGACTAATATATCAATGTGAGGTCACCAGTGTTTTAACTATTGAAAGAATACTGATGAGGATAAACTACAGGTTGAAAAACAGTCTTCAAAAGGGCAAGCCACCAGCCTGTGGCCCTCGGGGACAGTGATTTTGCTTTTATCCCCAAATGCCCTGGCCAACAGGAGCAGCTTCACAAATACCTGCAGCCTCAGCCCCGTTTCTGCTCTCCTCTCCAGTGGGGTGACCATCCTCAGTCTAATTCCGGGTCCTCCATTCTCTTTCGAACCCAAACAGGCTTTCACACCTACCCCTCCATTGAACTTGCTCTTGTGAGCTCACCAGTGACCTCCACGTTGCTAAACAGAATGTGCATTCACATGACCTAGAGCCAGCAACCGTCAAATAATCACTGCCTCCTCCCTCAGAAGCTTTTCCCACTTGGCTTTCTGCTCACTACAATGGCTGCAAGTCTCGTTCTCATTTGCTGCTTCCTCCTCACTTCCCTGCCCCAGGCTCAGCAACGAAACTTCTCTTTTTTTCTATGTATTGACCCCTAGCTTTGGGGGCATCTGTAAGCTGAGAGCTCCCCCATGTATATTCCTAGCACAGACTCACCTTGAACTCAAGACTCTCACAGCCAACTAGGAATCTCAAACTTCACATGTACCAAACAAAACTTCTGACCTCACTCCGGGTCCTTGTAATATTTCCCTCTCTCACTAAATCACAACTTTATCCTTCTAGGTGATCAAGTTGAAACTCTTGGAGTTGTTCTTCATTCTTTCTCTACACCACACCCGGTCCATCAAGACATGAAAGTACCACTTTTAATCCAGACTCTGACGATGTCTCACCCTTGTCCCTGTTCTCTGCAACTGTTCTCTGTTTCCACCCCAGTGCCTCCTACAGTCAATTTCAAACATGGACGTTCGAGGGGTCCTTTTAAAACATCAATCGGGTCATGTCCCACCTCGCCATAAAACCTCTACGGCTTTCTATTTCACTTAGAATAAAACCAAAATCCTGACTCCGACTGGCACAGCCCACCCTGTCTTCAGCCATTGTCACTGTCCCCCTTATACCTTTAGCTCTGGTCATGCTGGTCGCATCACCCATGTATACTTGGAGCATGACTGACCTCAGAGACTCGGTCATGATGGTTCCCTCTACCTGCAGGTCTCCCAGACACCGCGTGGCTCCCCCTTTATGTCCCTCAACTCTGCTCACAGACTATTTGTCAACAGAGCCCTCCACGACCACCGTATTTAAATTAGGACCCCGCCACTTACACCACTGCACGTCAATCTATGCTCCTTCCTGTTTTATTACACCATGGCAATTAACACCACACGACTTACTATATATTTTACTCACTTATTTTATTGTAAACACTCACCTCACTTCCTATAAGCCCCGAGAGGGTACGGTTTTCAACTGTTTTGTTATTTCTTGTATCCCTGGCTCTTAGAACAGTACCTGGCACATAGTATGTGCTCGATAAATATTTGCTGACTAAATACAAATGTCGAATGGACAAATACTCAGATAATGTGCTAATGTTATTTAGGTTTAAAGGTACAGCAAGCAATAAAATAAGTTGAGAGTCGTTCCTTAGAGTTTCCTCAACCAGTTTACAATTAGAAAGTTGAAACCTGCTCACAATGGAGTATGGTGAGTGGATTAGTTAGCTATTTACTGGGGAGACTCACGGCTGTTTTATTAGCAGCTGAGGTTCTCCCAGGGAAGAGCAACTTGGGGAACATGACCCGTTTGGCTTATGAGTCACTTACATCTGTGCACCTGCTTTGCCGACAGCTTGAAGAAGAGACTGGACCCCATTTCCTCAGTGAAATGTAAGGACTACAGGCTGACTTTACACACAAAAAAAATCAACAAAATAATCCTTTATGCTGGAACTTAAAATCTATATTCCAAGATAAATAATTCTGAGTTTTACTACATCTCAAACAAAAATTATTTTCAGAGACTCCTTTCATTTTTAAAACAATGTATGTTATCATTAAAAAAATGACACTCCTTTCTCTGCTAAGCAT